GGCGGTTTCTAGCGGTGCAAGAAGGATGATACCCCGGGCTTTTGGTCCATGCCACATCCCAGTCATTGCAGATTTTCGTCACCTCCTTCAAGAAACAAAACGAGCTCAATATCCCCTTCTTGAGCGTTCACTTGGTACTTTTGGGTGGACCGAGGGGTGTCCGCGGCCATCCAAGTCACGTGGAGGGCAGCTCGACCACGGATTTTAGAGCTACATTGATCCAAGACTCCTGGACCAGATCTCCTATGCTGGTGTGCGCGTTGCGGTGACTACCGTACCAACAGCCACCCGTGGCCTTTTAGACTTGACCTCAAGTTGTATTTTGCGACGCTTTCACTTTCTTCTGATACGGCCTGGTCCTCCTTGCATTGGTCGTTGTCGCGGCTGAGCCTCTGAGCTTCGGACCTAGTACTATCTACTAGTTCCCTTGTTTTGTGCTCTCTCAACTCTCCATACAGCGACCTTGGTTCTGCTTGTGTGCTGGTTCGCAAGGCTCCAACCCCGACCAACTTAGTCTAATCTCTTACTTATCTCTCACTTGTCTGCCACCTGTGCCTTGGGTCATCTGCATTCGTCGTATTCCCGGTGTTACTTTTGAGCGGAACTCCACCGTCTAGTGAACATTATCTGATTCTAATCTGCGCATTTGACCATGACATTTGCGCACTGGTAAATCATCAGTCAGGAAGAAACTAGGCGCTCTCACACATCCAATATCCATGGCAATGGATGAGGACGAAGACACCGTCATGGGAGAGGCAGGCTCCCACCACCCCACCTCTGTTTCTTCACATCAATGGCCAAGCAATGGGCCCAGCAGCCAGGGTGCTGGCCAGCTCAATGGTAGCTCGGATCCATCTACTGCACCGCCATTGCTGGGTCCGACCATGAAGCTGCCGTTGTCTGTACACTCGGGAGACCCGAGGCCTGAGAACACAGCATCGGCAGAAGATCAGGGAGTGTCGCCACCTAAAAGCCTGCCCAAGTCAGACTCTGGCGACGTCACTACTGAAGACTTTGACAAGCAAGATAGTCTTGTCGAGGACAACTCGGATTGGTCTGATGAGGATACTGTAGCCCGCACTGGGCTTCCCATCGCCTCACTTCCTTCTGGGTTATGTTATGACGTTCAGATGCGTTATCACTGTGAAGTGCGGCCAACAGCGGACGTTCATCCAGAGGATCCGCGACGCATCTACTACATTTACAAGGAACTTTGTCGAGCGGGACTAGTCGATGATCCCGAATCGTGCCGTCCGCTTGTCTCACGACCGCTGAAGCGCATCAATGCTCGCAATGCTACTGAAGCGGAGATCTCGCTGATTCATACGCCTGACCATTTTGCATTCGTAGAAAGCACCAAAGGTAGACCTATGTTCAATGTCTTTCAGGTTCTGGTTCTCTAACGGTTAACAGACATGTCTGATGATGAGCTCATTGCATTGGAACACACACGTGACTCGATATACTTCAATAAATTGACATTTGCATCATCGATTCTGTCAGTTGGAGGCGCGATTGAGACATGCTTGGCTGTTGCAACCCGGAAGGTCAAGAATGCCATTGCGGTGATCCGGCCTCCGGGGCATCATGCCGAGCACGACAAAACTATGGGATTTTGTCTGTTCAATAATGTCTCCGTAGCAGCCCGTGTTTGTCAGAATCGACTGGGTGATAGCTGCAGAAAGATTTTGGTTCTCGACTGGTATGCTTAGCCCTTTTCACTTCAATCTGCGGAGATACTGACCGACTAGGGACGTGCATCACGGTAATTAGGGGCTCATATTACGCATTGAATGAAAGCATCTGACTCACTCTTCTAGGAAATGGTATTCAAAAAGCTTTCTATGATGACCCTAATATCCTATACATCTCACTCCATGTGTATCAGGATGGGAAATTCTATCCTGGCGGGGAAGAAGGTGACTGGGATCACTGTGGTGAAGGCCCGGGTGTTGGAAGGTATACTCCTAGATTTCTGATATGTGGAAGCTTCTCTGACAACTTTAGAAACGTGAATATACCCTGGCCGAGCCAAGGGATGGGAGATGGTGACTACATGTATGCTTTTCAACAAGTTGTTATGCCAATTGCCCATGAGTTCAACCCGGACCTTGTCATCGGTATGTAAGGACTCAATTAGTGGGTGTGTGTCTCTCTAACATGGATTAGTTGCCTCCGGATTTGATGCGGCTGCAGGCGACGAGCTTGGTGGATGTTTTGTTACGCCTTCGTGCTACGCTCACATGACACACATGCTCATGACGCTTGCCAATGGCAAGGTTGCTGTTTGTCTCGAGGTATGCGCACACAGAGGTTGTTGAGAATTGTAGGCTAACCAAATGATAGGGTGGTTATAACTTCAGGTCGATTTCCAAGTCAGCACTCGCTGTCACAAAGACGCTGATGGGAGACCCGCCGGACCGACTTCATACCACTTCACCTTCAGCTCTGGCCACCACAACTGTACGGCGTGTGATGATGATCCAGTCGCATTACTGGCACTGCATGTACCCTAAAGGGCCTCCTCAAGATGGGCTCTTCACCGATAGGCTTCATGGTAAGATCCCGCACCCCTTACCCGGCAATGCTAACTTCTGCAGATGTTATACGCGCTTACCAGTCAAAACAACTTTACGACAACTACAAGCTCACATCTCTCTTCATATATCGTACTGCCATCTCCCGGTCTTTCGAAAATCAGGTTCTAGCAAGGTAAGTAGAACCATAACGCGTTTGGCTCTGCTAACTCCATGCAGCCCCAACTATCACCAAGCCGTGCCACTTATAGTGATATTTCATGATCCGTGAGTTCGCTGCCGATGAATTGTCGGCAAATCAAGCGTTTAATTAACCATACGCAGTCCTGAGATCATGGGTTTGCCCCATCCGGTCACCAACAAGTTGGAAGCCCATAACTGCTGGCTGGTATGTGTCTGCGCCATGATAATGCACATGTGCTGACAGTAGTAGGCTGATGTCATGAAGGAATTCATTGGGTGGACTGTGAGCAAGGGGTATGCAGTCATCGATGTTAATATCCCTAAGCATGTGACGATCGATCCTGTAAGCTCGGTGACTATATCAGCTGTTGAATGAGTACTGATCCATACAGTCATCCGGTAAATATGAGGAAGAAGACGAAAATCGGCCCACGGCTACTGAGGAATTGGCGGGCTACCTGTGGGATAACTATATCGAGTTAGTGATGCCGGGATTATCAACAGGCAGCCTGAAACTGACAATTGCAGACCGAGCGAGGCCACCGAAATCTTCTTCATGGGCGTAGGCAATGCTTTCTACGGAGTAGCCAACCTACTGATCAACCGAGGTGAGTTATCTTCCTCAAAAAGGGAGGCAGCATCTGACGTGTGAACAGAAACATTGTATAAACGAGTGAACAGCGTTGTTTCCTTCGTTGCCGAGAACCCGGTTCGCGCCATAGCCTCCCACACCCAGGTCTGGCTGTCGCGGTGGTACAAAGATGTAAGCCGACCGACCCCTTCAAATCCTGTGATTCCATACTCACATCCGCTAGAACTCCCTTGTCTTCGTCTCGCACACGCACGGCGTCTGGAACCACGTGGAGACTCGGCGCAAGCCATCCAAGCGCTACGGCCAGCTCGTCCAATCGCCCAAAGCCAGTCTGAGTGAGATGCTCATGCACCACAAAGAGGAGGTATACCAATGGATCTCCGAGCGTGCAGACGTACAAGATAGCGAGGAGACGGAAGATGAGAAGAAGCCCAAGTCGAAGAGCCGGTCCCCGACGAAGGAGAACCAGGCGGATCCCCGTTCGGTGCCGGGCTAAGCGGGGTCTTAAGTGGAGTGGGCGCTGTAATTTTGTTTGTGTTGGATCTATGCATAGGTGGGAAGTTCGGTTTTGTCTTGGATGATTATTGCAATTGTACCTAGTAGGGATGCAGGGTACTGGTTAAGCATACTTCATGATAAGGCATTCCGCTGTCGTTGTTCACATATCCCACACTAATTATAGGGTAGCCCTATAACTGAATTTGTTAGTGTGCCGGGCAAGAAGAACAGTTCTTCATTCCATCCATTGTAGTCCAGGCTGCCGCAGAACACCATAACCACATCCATCCAGAAACCCCTCATACAACAATAAATTCAAGCCACGCAAGGCCTCCCATCAATATGTTAATCTATCTCGCCTACAAAACAATGCTATCTCACCCCACTAACCAGAACCCCCTGCAATACGAGCAACCTGCAGACATACCCGCTGACTACTTAATCTCCTGCCAAGGAAATCCCATCCGATCATCCGAATCTCCGCAACCGAACTGAGACATACATGAGTAGTTCATCCATGACTCCTCCACAGCCGAATCTCATGATTGGATCGTGACACCTATTATGACTGACTTACATCCGACACCACGCTGCTTATGTGCTTACTTATGCACATGACCATAACATACACAATAGTAAAGTTAACCATAAGTATTTATCTCACTCATAATGTAACTCTAATGTCTCACGCACGAACCCCGCGGGGTAAGCCGCACTGCAATACTTCCAATATTTGCATATGTACGGATCGGACGGGACTGAACTGAGCCTCTTGCACAATATATCTTGGAATAGGATGATTGTATGGCTAGTCTATGGGACGCCTGAATATAAGCGGTGAGATGGAACCCATTGGTTGGGTTTTAGTCCAGGTCAGTTGATTCATCGAGTGTTCTCTTCGCTTCGGTTCGATTGATTGGAATAGATGTGGCTGTTATTTTGGGGTGGTACTATGTGCTGCTAATGCATTGGGTGGACTGCTAATGTACTTGGCGATGGAGATGGAGAGGAGATGTGAGACATTATGACCTAAGCCTATGCCTTTGTTTTTGATGGGTGGGATGATGTAGTTGCTATTATTCTCATCACTCCATAAACATATGTAGCTATTTTGTACAGACTAGAAATTAAATAGACATATAAACACCCTTCCTCCCTCCATACAAGCCCTATCCTATCCCATCCAACCAGCCATCCAACAATCCACACAACAACACCTCCATTAAACCCACTCGAACCACTCTACCAAAATGCATCTCACCACCAAAACCCTCCTCTCCCTCCTCCCCCTCCTCCCCCTAACCACCGCCACGGGCTCCGCCATCGTGCAAAACAACTGCACCTCCCCGATCTACCTCTGGTCCGTGGGCGGCTCCGTCAGCAGCATGCAAACCATCGACCCGGGCTCCAGCTACAGCGAGACCTTCTACTACGATACGACCTCTGGTGGTGTTGCTTTGAAGATCACCACCACGGAGAACGGTCTGTACAGCGGCGCTCCGCAGACGGATTACGCCTACACTTTGGATACCTCCTCCGGTAACGTGTTTTATGATATCTCGGATGTCTATGGCGATCCGTTCTCGGGCAGCGTGGTTAGTCTCGTCTCGAGTGATGCTAGCTGCCAGAGTGTTTGTTGGGCTGGGGGTGTGCCCCCTGCTGGAAGTGTCGTGAGGAGTTGTCAGGATGAGGCGGATGAGGTCTTGACGGTTTGTGCGGATAGTTGTTAGAGTTGGATGGATTGCTAGGTTGAGGATGACGGGGGTTAGAGTGGTGATTTAGGGAAGGGTTGGGGGATTGGGGATTTAATGTGAGGTTGTTGTTTGGGTTTTCTTGGGGAGGGATATCTGGTGGAATGAGTTTGTGTGTAGGTATGTCACTAGTAGCTGAATTTATGATTGTACTATGCCATGTCCATGTTTAACGGGACTTAGTACTAATAGAGGTGACGCAAGTATACTTCATGGATTGACTCACTGGGAAAGCAATACCACTAGTAGAGTATCTACGTTCGGTATATATATATATATATATATATATTAAAATATGAAGTAGTGAATATACGGTCTAGCTTCTAGTGAAGCATGCCTGCATGATAGCCAATCAATGAGCCGACGACGATATGGTACGGCACGATGACTTTTCAATACATGTATACTCGCGTATTCGTTAATGTGTTTGTAGCTGCTGCATGCATCTATTTATATAGTAAACAGGTGCTCGCCGTAGTCGGCTAGACATACACCTCAGTAAGCGGAGACAATGCAATTTGGGTGAAGATACTATATGATCACCATAATGAATACTACGTAGAGGAGATAATACCGAATTTTGAGGACATAATATTACTTTGAGATTGAATCCTTAACTTCATTGATTTGAATGTGGACTGATAATTGAAATCTGCGCTGACATTGAAGATATCCAGCTGCGGAGTTGCCGAGGTATATATAGAAGCAGTAGTACTAGTGACACTAATAGCCCCCGAGTGAAAGACCAGCTACCAGGAGTTGGCGTTGCAGTTCAACAAAGAAGCAGAATATCTTTAGAGATCAAACTCACATCACAGTAGTAAAAGAGTAACCAATTCACTGGCAAAGACAATATGTAATGAAGTATCCCACGTTGACCGCCTTATCGCGGGGCTTCACCGCCTAGTAAGCCCCAAGCCATGCATTGTGCATCGCCTCCCGCCGAGGAACCCACCGACAAGTCACTCTCCCTCCTTCGTGCCACAAGATATACTTCGACCATTGACCCCGGTAATTGCCTCGCTTGCCCTTCACCTCTTCCTACGTGGCGTTCTGCTAACCCCATTTGCTCTGTTTAGTTCTCAAACTGCTAATTTCAAATACGGGACTTCCCTTACCCCTTTCACTTTCCACGCCGGCAACTTTCCCAACACCGCCTGCGCCCCGAGCGGTGCTTCCCGGCAACCGATCCCTCCTTTCTCTGGATGCCTCCAAGGTCCCCTGCAACACGCCGCTTGTGGAACTCTCGAGTGCCTTTATATCTTCGCTCCCCAGCTTTTCGCGCCTTCTCTAAGTCAGGCGCCTTTGCGGCGATTGCCCCTCCTTCTATCTACCCCTCGCCACGCTTCCCCACACCGAACGAGCGCTACTCCTCATCTCCTGCCCTGCGCTCGTCTCACGCCCTTGTCTCGCTTTCCCTCCCTTCCTGTGCTCGCCTCTTCTCTCATACCGCAACCATGGGATCTATCGAGCGCCTCGCTGAGCAGTTGGAGAAGCCCGAGCTCGATGATCGCTCTTATCGTGTCATTCGCCTGCCGAACAAACTAGAGGCTCTTCTCGTACATGATCCCGACACAGACAAGGCTAGTGCGGCCGTCAATGTCAATGTCGGCAACTTTTCAGACGCAGACGACATGCCGGGCATGGCGCATGCGGTAGAACATCTGCTTTTTATGGGAACGATGAAGGTAGGTGGTCACCCTCGGAAACACTAGACCCCTTGTCCGCTTGGGCTTATGCGGAAACATGTTAACCCTGTGTAGTATCCCAAGGAGAATGCCTACAATCAGTACCTAGCATCCAACTCCGGTTCCTCCAACGCCTATACCGCAGCCACCGAGACGAACTATTTCTTTGAGGTCGGTGCCACCACGGCTTCCACTGACGACACACCTAACGGCGCCAATGGAACATCGAACGGCACAGACACCCCCGCAAAGCCGAACCACCCCACGTCTCCCCTGTATGGTGCTCTGGATCGCTTTGCGCAGTTCTTTGTAGAGCCCCTGTTCCTCGAGTCGACCTTGGACCGCGAGCTGCAGGCAGTAGATTCGGAAAATAAGAAGAACCTGCAGAGCGACCTGTGGCGGTTGATGCAATTGAACAAGAGTTTGTCCAACCCTGCCCATCCGTACCACCATTTCTCGACCGGGAACCTGCAGACTCTGAAAGAGGAGCCGCAAAAGCGGGGGCTGGAGGTCCGACAGGAGTTTATCAAATTCTACCAGGCGCACTATTCGTCCAACATCATGAAATTGGTGGTGTTGGGACGGGACTCTCTGGATGAAATGGAGCAGTGGGTGGGTGACTTGTTCAAGCATGTGAAGAACCAAGATCTTCCTCAGAACCGCTGGGACCACGTTCAACCTTGCCTACCGGAACATCTGGGCAAACAGATCTTCGCCAAACCAGTCATGGATATGCGCTCGCTCGACTTATACTTTCCCTTCATGGATGAAGAGTCGTTGTTCGAATCCCAACCAAGCCGTTATCTTAGCCACCTGATCGGCCATGAAGGTCCAGGCAGCATCCTGGCCTACATCAAAGCGAAGGGTTGGGCAAACGGCTTGTCCGCAGGTGTGATGCCTGTTTGCCCGGGCTCCGCCTTCTTCACCATCTCCGTTCGGCTGACTCCCGAGGGTCTGAAACAGTATCGCGAGGTCACCAAGGTGGTGTTTGAGTACATTGGCATGATCAAGGAGCGCGAGCCCCAGCAGTGGATCTTCGATGAAATGAAGAACCTGGCTGAAGTCGAGTTCCGTTTCAAGCAAAAGTCCCCGGCCAGTCGCTTCACTAGTCGCCTGAGCAGTGTGATGCAGAAGCCTTACCCCAGGGAATGGCTTCTCAGCGGCAACCTCCTGCGGAAGTTCGAACCCGAGCTGGTCAAGAAGGCGCTGTCGTACCTGCGACCCGATAACTTCAGAATGGTGATTGTTGCCCAGGATTACCCCGGTGACTGGAATTGCCGTGAGAAATGGTACGGAACTGAGTATAAGGTCGAAGATATTCCGGAAGACTTTATGGACAGCATCCGCAAGGCTGCGGAGACTTCTCCTGAGAGTAGACTGTCCGAGCTCCACATTCCACACAAGAACGAGTTTGTTCCTACCAGGCTCACTGTGGAGAAAAAGGAGGTTTCTGAGCCGGCCAAGACCCCCAAGCTGATCCGTCATGATGACCATGTCCGATTGTGGTACAAGAAGGATGACCGTTTCTGGGTCCCCAAGGCGACTGTTCATGTCACCCTGAGGAATCCCTTGGCGTATGCTACCCCGGCAAACCTGGTCAAGACCAAGTTCTACTGCGAGCTGGTTCGCGACGCTCTGAACGAGTACTCCTACGACGCTGAGCTTGCGGGTCTCGACTATTCGTTGTCTGCCAGCCTCTTCGGCCTTGATATCTCAGTTGGCGGATACAATGATAAGATGTCGGTTCTCCTTGAAAAGGTGCTTACCAGTATGCGGGATCTGGTCATCAAACCGGATCGTTTCAACATCATCAAGGAGCGTATGACTCGGAATTACAAGAACGCAGAGTACCAGCAACCGTTCTATCAGGTTGGCGACTACACGCGTTACTTGACTGCCGAAAGGACATGGCTCAACGAGCAGTATGCCGCTGAATTGGTACACATCGAGGCAGAGGACGTTTCATGCTTCTTCCCTCAACTTCTCCGCCAGAATCACATCGAAGTCCTGGCCCACGGTAACTTGTACAAGGAGGATGCGCTGCGCATGACCGACCTGGTGGAGTCGACTCTTCAGAGCCGTGCGCTGCCCGAATCGCAGTGGCACGTGAGACGCAACATGATCCTTCCCCCGGGCGCCAACTATGTCTACGAGCGTGCCCTGAAGGATCCCGCCAACGTCAACCACTGCATTGAATACTACTTGTTCGTTGGAAAGCTTGACGACGATGCTCTGCGGGCCAAGCTGCTGCTGTTTGCTCAGATGACGGATGAGCCTGCCTTTGACCAACTGCGGAGCAAGGAGCAGCTTGGTTATGTTGTTTGGAGTGGCGCCCGCTACTCTGCGACGACCATGGGTTACCGTGTGATCATTCAGAGTGAGCGCAATGCTGCTTATCTCGAGTCTCGCATCGACGCTTTCCTGACCGGTTTCGGGAAGAGTCTGACGAATATGTCCGAACAAGAGTTCGAGAGCCACAAGCGCAGTGTTATCAACAAGCGGCTGGAGAAGCTTAAGAACTTGAGCTCTGAGACCAATCGGTTCTGGTCCCATATCGGCTCGGAATACTTCGACTTCGTGCAGAACGAAAGCGATGCTGCGAATGTCCGGACGTTGACCAAGGCCGACCTCATCCAGTTCTACCAGCAATTCATCTACCCCAAGTCCGCGACTCGGGCTAAGCTGGCGATTCACCTCAAAGCCCAGGCCGGTGCCCATGCGCACGCCACCAAGCCTGAGGAGCAGAAGGCCCAGGTCGTTTCGTTCCTCGGCAAGCAGTTGGAGGCGGCTGGCTTCGCTGTTGACCAGGAACGCCTGAGCACTGCTTTTGCGACCGTCGACGTGTCGAGCGGCGACGAGGCTCAAATCCTGGCCACTCTGAAGGCGTTCCTCGAGTCTGGCATGAGTCTCTCCGAGCAGCAGACCAAGCCCGTCATCGCGCAGATCGAAAGCAGCCTGGGCATGCAATTGAAGCAAGCGGGCATCGAGGCTAAGAAGAGTGATGGAACAGTCCAGCCGAATGGCACGAACGGTGACCTCCAGCAGTCTACCTACATCAACAACGTTCCCGAGTTCAAGGCTCGTCTGGCCGTTAGTGCTGGTCCCAGCCCGGTAACCGATCTGAGCGAATTCGAAGACTTTGACGCCAAGCTTTAAACTTCATGATTGAGTTGGATGTTGGGGCGGAAGTCCGTCGCATTGATAGACATGATGTTGTATTGTTGGGTTTGCATAGTTGGCGTGGGCTTGTTGCATGGGAGGGATGGGGCTGTGTTTGGGGTTAGGTTGTGATTTGAGTTAGATCTACTCTGATAAATGAGAATAGAATCAGCAAAGAATAAACCATATGATGATTCCACTATTACTCCTATGGAAGCTACACTGTAGACTTAAGACTAATAGACTCACACGGCGAGCATCGGGGCGGTCGAATGTTTTCGCGGGAGGGCCGCTCCGACGCCGAGCCCAGCTCCGCCATCATCGCCGATCCACCACCGACAGCTCCAGCCGCTCTTGACTTCCTGACTACGTATCCAGCATTCGACTCCTCCAGCCTGTTTACTCGCGGCGCATTGGCTTCCCCTGCGTTCACCATGTCGACCACCACCGCGACGGCGATCCAAAGCTCGCGCCCGTACGTCCTGCCACCGACCTACCTCACTACCGCTTCCTTCTCCACGCATTCACCACTGACCATGTCCTGAATAATAGCCCCATCATCCCCAAAGACTTCTCCGCGCAACAACCCAAAACAATCCGCCTGTACCCCCTCTCCAACTACACATTCGGCACCAAGGAAACCCAACCGGAGGAGGATCCGTCCGTGCTGGCGCGTCTAAAACGTCTCGAGGAGCACTACGACCTACATGGCATGAGACGCACCTGCGAGGGCGTCCTCGTCTGCCACGAACACAACCATCCTCATGTGTTGATGCTGCAGATTGCCAACGCGTTTTTCAAGCTGTGCGTTTCCATACCATGTGGATTATGGAGCTTCGTGCTTCTTACTTACATTGTTTTTGGTCTCTAGTCCCGGTGACTACCTCAACTTCGAAGACGACGAAGTCGAGGGCTTCAAGAAACGGCTCAATGAGCGTCTCGCGCCCGTCGGCTCGCAGTTCTCGGGCGAAGGCGTGAACGAAGACTGGGAGATTGGGGACACGTTGGCGCAATGGTGGAGGCCGAACTTTGAGACGTTCATGTACCCGTTCCTGCCGGGACATGTAACTCGGCCGAAGGAGTGCAAGAAGTTGTATTTCATTCAGTTGCCGAAGAAGAGTAAGCATTCCGTCTCCCACATATGAATACCAGTGGCGGGTGAGAAGGGATGAATGGCCTGATTGACATGTGTTGTGCAGAGGTCCTCTCCGTCCCGAAGAACATGAAGCTCCTCGCCGTCCCACTCTTCGAACTATACGACAACACGGCCCGGTATGGCCCGCAGCTCTCGGCCATCCCGCACTTGCTGTCGAGATACAACTTTGAGTTCGTCGATGAGAACGACAACGTGGTTGCCGCGACGCCGGGCACGCCCTTGCCGGATCATCAGATCCCCCGGACGAAGGTGCTGGCCGGGGACAGCGGTGACGGACAGGATGAGGGGATGACGGATTACCCATCTGGAGAGGGCGAGAATGGGGCTAGTGCGTAGTTGAGAGTAATGCCATGTCTTGAACTCAACCGGCATGAGCTGTTATTCCGATTATTCCCCGATGAAGGATGGCAGTGATGAGACAGTTCACCTGGCCGGATTGGATCTGACCCCTGCTGATCAGCTCGGGCATTTTTCCTTTTCCGTGGGTTGCTTCTCTCTCTCTTTCTTTCTTTTTTCCTTTTTTTTTTTTTTTTTTTTTTTTTTTTTTTTTTTTTTTTTTTTTCTTCCCCTCTGGCCTGGTTATTCCCTGCCAGTTCAAAAGGTAATAGAGTCTGTGTCCGGGAGCATTGAAGTGAAAATCCGGTTTGCAACCGGCGCAGTTTTTCATTGACAGGGGTCGCTAGCCGACCACTTGGCTCTAACGACGATAACGACCGCAAATGATGATGGGATTT